AAATAAGCTATAATATTAAATGTGTTTTAACAGTTCAAAAGCTACATTTAGTTCTCGACGAAATTTTTTCTGTATGCCACAATTCAAAAGGAATAAGATACACGATTTTTTATATAATACACAGTGCTATAATGTGCATTTCTGCGTCAGTGGTTTTTAACTTCGCGCCTAATTTCGCAAGAAAAATAATTATTTCTAAAAAAGTACGGTCTGGGGAAATTTCGCCACCCTAAGCTAAGGGTAAATTCGCACCTATTTTAAATACATATTTTTATATTTGACGAGCTGGCTAACGAACAGACTACCAGCAGCAGCAACAAATATAGGACGTCAACAAAAATGGTAAGCTTGATCAGTGTAGCATATTTTCAGGCGTTAAACTCCCTACATTTTTCAGGTGACAAAATTTCCCCAGTTGTGTGGTGATTTTACCCCCCTGTGTGGTGAGATTGCCCCAGTATATTGGTTTTACATTTTATTTTTTTATAAATCACCAAGCTAATTAAAAAAATAGGGGAATGTCACATTTTAAAGCTTGGTGCTAACCGCATTCAACAATAAAAATAGAAATATGATAACGTGTCTCAAGATGGACAAAAAATAGCTTTGAAAAAATGCTGACGAAATTCCCCCACTCTCCCCTACTGTTTTCTGTGATGGGAAACATTGTAAAACATTGATGTATCGATATTACTGCCTACCCTGGAGTCTTTAAATAATAATTTATATTCTGGAAGAGTTGGTTCAAATTAGTTTACGTTTTTTTATACAACCCCTTTGACAAAAACGACTCTCAGCCTCTGCTTTTCCCCGTCTCAAGTTCCCTTGTCGTTTTGTTGGCTTTTTTAATCTTTAATGTGCAGTCAGTTGTTGTTACTGTAGTCTGCAGTAAAAAGAAGGACACACACCATTTACGCAGTCAGGTCTGCATCGCAAGAGTGCGAAAGAGACGGGGAGTTGTGAAGTGACAGAGAGGGGACTGTCCCAGGCCAATTTGCAAAGTCAAATGCCAGTCAACTGCAATTAAAGCGCTAAAAGCGGAGGGCGTATCCCCTAAAAGGCTAGTTGGCCTTAAATTACCAGGATCATTTTTGTATTTTGTATTCATGAAAGTTCTTCATTTAAATTCAGATGGAGATTATAAATTAATGTAATTTAGTTCCCGATTAACAAAAATTGTATTTATTATTAATATTTTCAATAACATTTAAATGTAATGTAATTTAAAGAATATTTTTGGGTTAAGACCTTTCATTAAAATAGTAACTTTTAAAATATTCCAAAAGACTAAAATTTTTAGGACCGTCTTTTCACTCTCCTCGCACACTGACACAAATACGTAGCTTATTAGCACATTTGATGGCACCATCTACTCCATTTATCTGCCCTTTTTCTGGTGGGATAACAAAAATATGCCGACACGGAAATGAATTTATAATGCATGATGTTGGTTCTTGTTGCTGATTCGTATTTCGGGCTATAAAATATTCGAGCCCAAAAAAGCGGAATGCATGTGTGCCTTTGTGTGTGTTTTGTGGAACAGCAAAAAGGCAAACAACTAACTCATTTTGTGGCTGCCATTGCTGTATCTTCTTCTTTGTTATGCCAATTGTCTGCCAGCGTCACACACACAAATACCAAAAGGCCAGCACACGTACAAACACACGTGAAACAAACACGCTGAAAGCATTCAACGTATTTTTTATTGAAGGCGCGACTGCGATTTTGATTCCGATTGCAAATCCGCTGTTCTCTTTGCTTTCCTCTTCCTTTTGTCTCTTTCTGACCCTGGGTGCTCTGTACACCGAGAGAAAATAGGATGGCCTTACTGCATTGCCTTTTAAACAATATAATTCGTAAAAAAATCATACATGTTTAGTTGCTATTTTAAACAATAATGTTACCTTTTGATTTTAATGATTTATTTTATTTATTTACTTAATAATATTTATTTATTTTATACATTGCATTTATTTTAACAGTGTCTTGCTGTCCTATTTCTGTGCACACTGCACTATGGGGCATTTGACCACTTTGGTTGGCCAAAACCCATTTTTTAAAACTCGTTAAAACAAAAAATGTTGTTTGAGGATGTGTTAACAAAAGACCATTTAACAATGTTACGTTTACAGAAATCCGATAGAGGTCGCCTCTGTTAAGGTAGGAGCTGTTAAATCAGCTGTTCGATATGCAATTATCGAGCTGTTGAATTTCGACTTTTTGCTTGCAGTTTTAAAGAGCTTTAAATTTGAGTTTTTAAGCAATCTAAGTAAACTTTTTGGATTGGATTTAAAGGATTATGCTATTTACTAAGTATTTGTGTGGTTCGACGACAAAAATGAGACGGATTTTTCTTACAAATGAGTGTTAAAGGGAGTGGTCTAACAAGTACATTTTTGTAAGAAAACTAATTTTCAAATGGAGCAACAAAGTGAGTCCAGCGGAGTCCACTTCTGGAACCTATTGGGATTTGTAGATTATTTAATTGTTGTTAAAATGTATATGGTCAGAATCGCCACTTATTGCCACTTTTTCTGTAATTTAATTTTTTAGACCATAACCTCAAATTTCACAAACTCCTATCCTTTGCACTGGTGGCTAAGGAAGTAAGGACTTTCGTGACTTTAAATTATTATCAAAATATAGTAGAAATACTTAGCTTTGTAATTGACTAACTTAAGTGGACTTTAGCGGCTTTAAAACGAAAGTTCCGCTACAACTTGAACAAAAAGTCGTACAAATGTAAAGTAAATTCTTTCATTTGCCCCTTTTTTTGAGAACTTTGGGATATAGTCGTCCGATTTGTACAAAACTGTTAATATTGTTTTAAAAACTTACATAATTGCTATTTCTAAAGTTATGTGCATTTATCTCCAAAAACCGCAAAGTTAATTTGATCGTTTCTATGGCAACTATATGATATAGTTTTCCGATCCGGATGATTATCATATATAATATGCGGGGGGATAAGAAATGGCGACTGGTAAAGTTTCAAGTCAATATCTTTTGAAATGACTGAGTTATTAATTTCGGCCAACAAAAGTGGTCAAATGCCCCATAGTGCACTGTTCAATATTACAGATGCCACTGTGCCAGTGTGTTTGTGTGCATTACCCCCGGGCGGGGTTTTGAGTTGGGCGTGTGACAGCTCAATATATTCGCCATTTGTCGCTGTATAAACCACACACTCCGTCTCTCTTTTTGCCCACTTAAGGTGAGGTTTTTGGTCTCTTCTCCACTAGTTGTCATATAAACGTGGCTTGCCGAGTGTCGCAAAACTGTTCAACGATGCTATAGACAACAGGAGATCCTTTCTCTGCACCTGTAACACCCACCACCCACTTCTTGGCGGAAAGGGAATGTCACCTTGGTTCTATTATGGTAAAACTAATATCTAGTAAATAAATTGAAATGCCTTAAAGATTACTTATTAAATATTTAGAGACTTAATTTAAAATCATACGAAAATAAATATTATTGGATATTATTTCCACTATACGTTTTATAAATTTATCAGATTTTAAAGGAACTATGCTGAATTTAATAATATTTTTAACATCGTCGATTTCTCACGCATCACAGAAATTTAATTTTATCCATCTTAGATGTGTAAATCCGTCATTTCAATTCTATGAGAACCCTTAATTTCGGTCTTTAAACTCGCATTTACTGCTCTCTTAAATTCGCCAATTTAACTGATCGTGTAAGTAACACATTTCCGTGTAGTAATTCATTTTCCTTATCAGGTAACCACTGTACCTCCATAGTTCCTTGTGCATGGTTCCCTTTCCTTGACTTTCCCTTCGCTTCCTTATTCGTGTTGTTGTTGGAGCGGCAAATGCAGGAAAATCAATTTCGTTCTCCATTTGCAGTTGGCAATTTGCATAATAAGGTCGTTTGGCGCAATTTGCATGTGAATGTGATAAATTCAATGGCGGCGCTGCACGTTACACCACACACACACACACACTGCCCAGCCACACATGCATATACATATGCGTCTGAGACGAGAGTATCTGTGGAAGTGTGCGTGAGTATTTGTTTTTCCGCTTTCCCGCAGAACGAACTCACTTTTTCACGTTTGACGTTTGGAAAAATGAAAAGTGTAGCGGTATATTAAATAAGTGGGTGTAACCCCACCCACAATGCTGAAAATATAACGGTTAGTGTCCTGGCCACTGTTACGGTTACCGTTCGTCGTTTGGGGACTCCGAAACCAGAAAACCGAAAACCCGCCAAAATGTCGCGCAAGCAAATATGGGGATATGTGCCAGGTTTTGCTGTTTGTGATTTAAAAGCTTTTGGGCTCTGCCTGGCTTTGATTTCCATTCGGGGGTATGACCACTTTTCATTTGCAGTGCTCTCGATAATAATAAAAACTAAAATGTAAAGAACTCCTCTGGAAAAATTAAAAAAATTCACTGTTCTTTATGAGCAAATAAAAACATTTATTTTCGTTACATTTTCGTTTAATATATATTATTCAAATTCTTATTAGCAGTAAACAACTTTAAATATTTGTCATTACCGAAGTCTTTATAAGAAATATTTAAGAAATTTTAAAAGACATTTAAGAGTATTCAAATTGTACCATCATACGTTTTTTTTGTGTCTCCCTCGAAACTTTGAGTTTTTTGCGCATGTATTTTTGTTTCGCCTTACACGTGAATTGTGGACTGCAGTGACGTGCACTGGATTTCCCGGGATCTAAGAGCCCGAGTCCAGCAGGACAAGTCGAAATTCATGTGACAGGGCCGAAAAGGTTTTTTGTGTTTGCCTTCTGGCCATTTTGGTGGGAAAATATGGCCAGCTGGAATCATAACAGTTGAAATATGAATGTGGGTTAGGGCATACGAATTAAGGGGATAACTTTGGTGCAGTTGCAGTTGGGAATGGGAATGCGAATGGGAACGGGAATGGCAGTACAAGGGGCTGATTCCATTAAAAATAATTTCGCCACACTAACATCCTTTCCATTTCTTTCCCCACGCTAATTGCAGACATTAGCAGCTCGCTGACAATGACCGAGGTGAAGATACCCAATCACATAATGCGCCTGAAGAGCGCCACTCTGGGCTGTCGTTACGCCCTCGACGGGGAGTCCTTGTACTCGGTGAAGTGGTATAAGGACGGGCACGAGATCTACCGCTATGTGCCACGCGATAAGCCCCCCGGACAGTCCTTCCCCCTGCCCGGAGTCAACATCGATGTAAGTGCACCGTAACAGGTTAAAAATAAAATATTTTGCGTATTGTGTGATCATAGCAGATAATATCTACACTTATAAGCTGAACTCAATAGGAGTAAAAAAAGAAATTTAAAAGCGTCAATAACAGGCTTTGGTTTTCTACTTTTGTTATCACAAACATTCCCAGAAAAAATATTTTCATTTTAAATTTGATGTTTATTATAATTTACCATTTTATTTTATCATAAAATGGAAAATTTAACAATTAAATTTAGAATTGTTAGTAGTAAATTAACTACATGAGATAATAAAACTTTTAAAATAAACATCTTTTAAAATCACAAATGTTTGAAACAAAAATATATCCCTTATAGATCTTATATTTTAATTTAATGAATATATAAAATTTTAAATTAAATTATTCATAGAAGATTAATTCCTTTAAAAAAATAATATTTTTGTAATTTTATATTTAAGATAAAGATAAATCAGTTTGAGCTGATTTTATCGTAACTTATAGCCTTTACGAAACTTAAAAGAACGCTATAAAACGTTTATGGAATTGATGTAAAGCCAAACATAAAAAACTAGCAGCCTTGATTTATACTAATTGCCACAATTGTAGAATTGTTTCTCTCAATGTAATTTTAAAAACAGCAACAGGTGTTATCTAAAAAAAAGGAAGCGAAAAATTTTAATTTAAAATTTTATTACAATTTATGGCGATACTTTCAAGGATGGTGGGGGATGTTGCTTTGGATTTAGTGTTACGACCCGATCATAATGATTATTTTAAAACATGTAATTGCCACAATGGCGAAGGAAGCCCTTAGAGCTGTTCTCCCCGATTTTCCGCCCGTTTTCACTCCCCTCTTTTCACTCTGCTTGTTGCTGATTACGTCGTCGCTGGAATGAAAATTGCTGCCACGTAGTTTTGCCATTTAACTTTAATTTAATGTGGATGTAACCTTCCTTTGTTGCCCATAAAAATGTGTGTCTGGGTGGGTTGCTCTTCCGCCCCGCCAGCCCTCCATTTTCACTATCCCTTCTGCTTTCGCTAAGGTCACGTGTTGGTCTGCTTGCCCAGCGATCGAAAAGGTTAACGGAAATCACTTAAAGCTGTCAATATCCCAGACAAAGTTGATATCCCTGCGCTAACCCTCCTCACTTCGTGCCGCTCTAATAATAATAATTTGCCAAAAGCACTTAAGTGCGTCTACTTTGTAAGACGGGCAGTTAAAGCAAAGCGAGGCTAAGAAAAAGCGCAATTGCACTGTGAAAAAAGCGTATGTAGTTTTCAGCGAGATAAGAAATATATACAAATTTTAACTGATGTTTCCATGATATAATCAATTTATATATTTTTGTTTTCCTTTGTAATTTTTGTAATTTTATTAAAGAGAGATATTTTTCTCTCCGTGCGAAGCAAAGTAAATCCCGTCAATTGTCGGGGCTAACGTGGCGTATGAGCAATGTGCCAGCGTGTTTTATGGCCTGTGTGCGTGTGGCCAAGCGGCTGGAAAGGGGAAACACAAGAAAATCTAAGGAAAGTCTAGGGAAATGGGGAAGAGAGAGAGGAAAGGAAATCGCTGACTAAAGGAGCCTCCTTTAGTGGAAGCATAATGCGTAATGCGGCATAATTTTCGTTTGGTTTCAATGTCTGCACTCGGGCGCCGCCCCCTCGAAAAGGGTTGAAGGCCGAGTTGAGTGGAGGGAAATGATTAGAACAAAAGAAGGCTTCCTCGGGGTACGGATGTTAGTGAGTGTGGTATGGCTGGGAAAAGCCTGATAAAGTGGGAACATTTTAATAAGGGCTGTGCGGGCTGCCTTGAATAAGGAAATTCATTTATTTAATTGAAGGATTTGGGTAGTAAGCCCCTTCGTAATATGAGCAATTCGAGCTTATAATGATTGATGTTCAAAGTGGAAACTATAAAAGTTATTATAGATTTAAAAGAAATCCTAATAGAGCATCTAAAGCTCTCAGATAAGTAATATAATATTTGTCATTGTTATTCCGCTGCACTTGATTTCAGTGCTGACGGAATTTTCCGACTTTTGCATTCACTTTCATACCCCGAAGATATTTCATGAATGGAATTTTTCTTCATTGCTGACAGACTCTGCTATCTTAAATAAATTGTTCTTATTGAAACCTCCAGTTGTTTCTGTCGGAATGTGACTCTGTTTTATTTGTTGGCCACTGCAATCAGAGCAACATAAACAAGGTTAGAGCGCTGATTCTTTTTAGCCAAACCGAATTTGGAATTACAAATAACAACTTCAATCTGCAGTCATGAGCGAAATGGCCGCGCATGTTCCGGGTGGCGACGAGGAAGCAATAAAGGGAGACTGCAATTTGAATTGCGGTTAGATTTGGTTTTTTGGCGAGCACAGAGTGCTTTACTTTCTCCAGTCCCCTTTACAGCCCGCAGTGAAACGACCCCCCTGCCTCGGCTAAATTTTTCAGGGGGTGCTGACAACTTGAGCGTGCCGAAAGAATTGGCAAAAAGACGAAGACAGAAGACACAGCTGCAGAATGGGAAGAAGAATCGGCTTAAGTACTGCCAAGGAGGCAACAAACAAAAGCCAGTCCACAGCCATTGTAAAGGACCGAAGGGGCAGCCAAGGGTTAAGGGGAGGGGTAGGGACAGCCGAAAACAAGCAACAAACCAAAAATAATGTTGAACGTGACTTTTGTGATTGTTTACGCAGGAGAATGGGAGTGGAATGGGGTGGGGTGGGTGAAATGTGGCCAAGGGAAAGCACAAAGCGAGAGCAAAGAATTTTCATAAAAATTTGCCCGAATCAAATGAAACTTTCTTCCCGCATGTGTATGCGATAATAAAAGTGCAACTTTAAGAACTTGACTTGACTGCAATTGTTGCCCAGGGAAAATGGGCAAAAAAAAGGGAAAACTGTACGAGTGACTTTTACAACATTCCGCCCTCACATGCGTATCTTCCATCTTTTATTCAGACTCTTGTGCGATTGTTTCTAGATATTTCATTTTCATTTGCTTGTTTGGCTTTTCAGTTTCGGCTCTTCCGACTTTTTGGTTTATGACTTTTGCTTTCCTTTTCTTGGCTTCCCTTCTTGCGGCCCTTAAGAAAATTACATTTTCCGCCTACAGTGTGGCTAAACTAATAATAAACTGCCTCTTCCATCATCAATCTTCATTTTGCGTTGAATTTGTGAATGTTAAAAATCACCCATAGAAAAATCTTGAACTCTAATTGCCTTTGATTTTCTGTCGATTCATTGGCACGCCATTTATCTCGCTGGGTTTCTTGAGTAAAATTAGGGAAATGGTCATAGTATACATTAAGGTTCTTTATTTTATTTTACTTTAAACGTGCGCCAATAAATAGAAAGTTAAATATGAATTAAACTTAAAATAATGTACAGCTAATTTAAAAGGAATGATGAAATAGAATTTCCAAATTTAATATATCATATTAAGTACTTTTTAAAAACTGATAAGATTTCGATTGGCTGTATTATCCTTTTATTTTGCACCCAACAAAACTTGATAAGAAACGATGATCGATTTGATGTTATGTGGTATGAATTGCTCTCTATTTCGAAGTCAGAGAATCATCGAGAGAGGGTTTTTATTTAGTTGTGGCTTACTTTTTAAACGAATAAACTATATAAATGAAAGGGATAAATGTACCTCCTTTGTATTAACATCTTGAATCCATGGAACACTTTATAATTCCTTCTTTTTATTTTTTCTCTACAGCTACGCAACTCCTCGGACACCCAGATTCTTCTGCGCCGCGTAACGCTGCAGAGTACTGGAGTTTATCGGTGCGAGGTGTCCGGCGAGGCGCCCGCATTCAACACCGTATCCGAGTCGGAGACCATGACCGTTGTGGGTGAGTTTAACATAAGGGTGGTGTATAAATGCCGGCGGAATGGAAATGGGGGGCTGTGCAGAAAGCGAGGCACTTGGACAACAGGCGACAGCAGAAAATTTAATTAAAATGCTAATAGTGCCGGGCAGCCAACAATGTTGTGAATGACAGTGGCAAGTGATGCGGCATCTGAAGTTGCAGAAACCAGAATGCAGAACTCAGCATCCAGAATGTGCAACATAATTGCTGGGAGTGGATAAAGAGCGGAGCCAAAAGGCTGCCGACGAGGATTGACAGCGGCAAGTTGAAGGATAACAGCCGAGGACTCCGGCTCCTGTCACTGGGTTGAAAAACTCGAATCGAGGCAAAACCATTTAAGAACGCATGCGAGGCAACCGAAATCTGAGGCTGCTGAATGTAAATTGCATGCAGGTTGTCAGCTCCCTGTCAAGGAGTCTTTGATGGGCTTCCCCTTCATATATGCTATAGAAAGCTCCCCACTTTTTACTTTTGAAAGTGGGGAGCATTTTAAGGTGGCCAGCAGAGTGACGGGTGGGAAATATATTAAATTGGCTATAAAAAACCAGGTGCTTTTAAAGACGGTGGAAGGTTGGGAAAGATTTAATAACAATTAGGGGGAAATTTTATTATAATCTGCTAGCTCTTAATATTTTTATCATGTATTGAACTTCATTTATTATTTACAGATTGATTGGTTTATATTTTCGATAAAAAATGGAGATGTGTTGATTGGGTTATATGCTTATAAAACCTATATAAAGGTTGCCTTATAAAGTTTGAAGTTTTAGCTTAAAAATAAACCCAGACAAGATTGAATAAAGGCTTTTAATAATCACCTAAAACTCGCCCCAAAAGTAATATTTATGTTCTACAACAGTTAGGTTTTCTTTCCGATTTCTTGTTAAAAATAGATTCTCTTGTATTTCTGCACTGGTTTAATTTCTTGAATAAATCTCTCACACTTAAGACCACATTAATCATCTTAATGAAATGAAATTCCTTGAGATTCGCCACGATAACTTAAAGCGGCTGCCTCCCGCAGGTGGTGCAGATCCTGATGGTGTTTCACCTGGACCACCTGGTCGAGGTTGCAGGTCTCCGGTCGCCGTCCTCCACTCTCCAGTTTCAGTCGCAGTCCGTAAATGGAATTCATGCAACATGGCAATGCGTTGCAAATGGCATTGTCGAGTCGTCTCAACTCCCAGGCTCCTTGTAAACTCACTCGCTTTCCTCTTGTTCGCAGCTTTTTAAAGGATTTCACTCCTCTCGGATTTTTCTCGCTTTTCTTTGCCTTTCGCCTTGGCAACCCTAGACTCTGTATGCAGTGCCCCTGTCCCCTCGGTTCTTCTTTTTTTTTTGTGCCACCCCACTTTTAATACAACTGCATAATCTAAGCAAACAATTGAAATGGAATTTTTGCAGTCGCAGTTGGCGTCAACGCAGCGCCAACAAAAGGCGCACATGTGTGTACAGTGAAGGGGCGTGGTCGTGGGCCGAGATGGGCGGAGCCCCGGTGCCACTGTCATTGCAATTTTGAAGTAAAATTATGTTTTCATGTCCGACTTTCAAGTGGGTAAAAACTGGGCTAAGACAATGGCGCCATCTGGCGGAGGCTGGCTGGCAAGAAAAAGATCGTTTATTCTCTCACCATTTACATGTGTATGTGAAGGATAAGGAATACACTTGGGAAAAAAGTAATCAGGACCAAAAAAAATTAATTTATAAATTTGACTTCATAAAATAATTAATACAACATAAAATAGTAAACGCAAGATTAAAATCACTTTAAATTTATTTATTAAATGCCTTAATCATATTTTGTATTAAATTAATACACCCAGTTCTTTCTAAGACAAGCTTAACCACTTCTGCTCTTCCGTATTCCTATACCACTCAAATTTCATGGAAAACCCAATCAAATTTGCCGACAGCGCCTGAAGTTAATCACAAATTTATAAACTCATAAAAGAATCAAACGGTTATCAATATGTGCTGCAGCAGGAGCAATCGCTAGGCAGGGGAATCCCCCAGGGGACAAAGAAGCACCAGTGAGCCACATTGAACCACCGACATCATCAATGGAAGCCGCAGTCCTCGGGGCAGGAACCTGCATTAACTTATGGCAACAAGGAGCAGGACATCGCCAAGAAAGGCGGCCACGCCCCTCGCCCACGCACTAAGCACATTTCATGCTGATTTTCCTTTTGGCCATTCCCTTAGCTTCCTCCCCAAAACATCCCGCCCCCGAAGACGCACCGGAATGCCGGGGAAATGGGAAATGGTTTTGCATATTAAACAATGTGTCTGGGCACCCAAATTGAACGATATTCGAACGAAAGTCGGAGAGGAAAAACGAGAAAAAATATAGGGCAAAAGGAGAGTGGGTGGCGAAAAAAAAGAAAAAAACAGTGGTCATTGGATATTTGAAACGCTGTGATACCTTATTTCTCTTCTAAAATAATTTAAATCTTTCATATACAAAATATTGGCATTCCATTAATAAAGATTGTACTTCTCCTTGAGCTTCCTGATTATATTTAACACATAATTGAAATTTTTCCTTTAGTATAAACCAACTGTGGGCGTTCCAAATCGAAACAAAATAGGAAGGAAAGAAAGAGTAGGGAGTCGTGGAGTCGAGTGGGAAGCCTCATCATCAACAACTGTGTCAGCGTCAGAGAAAAGAATCGCGGGGCTTGTACGAGCTTGGGGATAGGGACCTTCGTCCTGCTAATGCAAGTGAACCATAAAATATGCTCTAGTGAAAGCCGATTGTTCCCACAGGGAGTTGACAATGTTAATTTGGCGATCGTAAAATGTCAGCGGCAACATTGCGGATGACGGAGAGTCTCTGGAGTTTGGATTTCCGCGGTTGTGACTTATTTTTTATGTTTTATTTAGAAGATTTAAGTCCTGTAAGTAGTACAGCTACCACATTAGATACTTAATATAAATAAAATATATTGAGGCCCTGCATTAGATATTTTAATTATTCATGTAGACATATTTCAAGTCTACAATTTAAGAAACGTTTAAACAATTTTCTTACTATTCTGAAAAAGTTTGAACTAATTGCCATTTAAAGCGCTTGAAAATGATTGTAAAATTATGACTTTTTGCTCAGCCCATACCTTTTTAAAATTGTGCCCCAGGGGGTGTACCCTGAACTTTAATGAGCGCCTTGCCTTTGGCCTACTTGGGATAATTTACAGCTCATTAGTGTGACCAGGCCAAGGAGCAACAATAAATATTACGGCCGAGTACCGCCCCAGCCTTCTCCGCCCTCAAACTTCGCTCATAGCTCATAAAAATCACATTTAACTTTGCTTGCCAGTGGGAGGTTGCCTGCGATTGTAAGTAAGGGGTCCTGTTCCAGGTCCTTTATGCAGGCAATTGCTTTTTTATATTGTAAAATCGATAAGCGATCACATTATATGTCTGAGTATGAGTGTGTCCGAGAAGCAGAGAGGGGCTGGAAAAAAAAGAGATAGGACGAGAAGCGAAGAAACTCAGCGGGAAAAGTGAGTTATATATGTGTTTGTCCTTTAAAGTGCACTTAACCATAAATTCAGGAACAGGATGAGGACCCAGAGAGACACCCAGAAAATCGCGCGGAGAGAGCAGGACATGTGCCAAGCGTTGAGAGCCTTGCGTGCTCATTAATTATAAAACAACGTACGATACGCAGCAAATGCACTGGGAGAAACCAAATTAGGGGAACTCAATATTTATAAGTTAATTTTAATTTTAAGATTTGCCTTAATTAATATAAATTTTATATTTGAATAATATTCTTTTAACCGCTCGCTCAAAGAAATATCGACAAGGGATCAAACAAGAAATCATCGTGAAATCATAAGTATCTGGCGGGAGCGATAAAATATTCACTCCAATCAACAACAAGAAAATATGCAATTCAACTGACAACGAAATCCTTTTATCAAGGAGAGCGTAATACAGCGATGACCAATTCAAGAATTGGCGATTTTAAAATTTCTTTATTTTTAAAAATAAGAATTTAGGTTTATTTTTTGAATTTTGTTGTAGTTTTTTTTCCAGTGCGAACATAAAAACACACGCACACTGTAGCAGTGGAGAGTCCGATGCAGATGAGGATACGGAAGAGCCGCGGAAGTAACGGTAACTGTAATGTTGTCTTAACTCAAACATGCCGCAACTGAACCGAAGGATACGATGGCAAAGGGGAAAGGACTCGTATCGTGCATTAAAAATCGTTGCCATATGCAAAATTAAAGATAACAAACGAGGGATGTCACGGGAGTAAAAGGACTCGAGGGGGACGAGAACGGGCGGAAAGAAACGGAGCGTGAAGTGGTTGGGACAGGGGAAGTGAAACGGAAGATTGGCGACTGAAGTTCTTTCCAAGGACTTAACTGCTGATAGAAACTGTCGGGATTTCACACTTTAAAATGCGATTTATTCCATTTTTTCAAAAATACTACAACTGCTCTATTTTAAAAATAAAAAAAATTGTATGAATTATTTTCAACAGCTATACGACAAGTCGGAAAAATAAATAAATTTAAATCTTTATATAGTAACAGAGACCTCTATAATATACAGGCATTCAAATGGCTATTTTACATAATTTTATGGCATATATATTAACATATTTTTATACCAGACCACTTTCACCAGCAATGGAGTTGAATAAATTTCATATAATGGAGTGTAAATCATGTCTGAAAATGTTTATTAAAATTCCTAAGATAAAGACAACGAAATAGTAAAAAAGTGGAGATTGTTCCACAATCTGGAGGAGAAGACACAGAAAAACACTTAGGCGAAGGGCTCGACATGTGCATAATCCACACTCCCACTCACACACCCCAGAGCTATAGTCCATTGCAAATAGAACAGGTGAATGCCTGGAGGGGTGCTACCATCCACCACAACCTCATTGCCAAAATCCCAACCACCTGACCTGGCTTATCACCTGCTAAGAAGAAGCTGCAAAGTGCGCTTCGAGCGCAAAGGGGAGGTGTTTTCAGGTGGACGGTTGGCTGGTAACAAAAAATATACCGCAGCGTATTAAGGGAAGACCACCAACTGGGCAGGAAAGTCTTGAAAAAACCTAGATAGACGCCCACTTACAGTGCTAGTAGTTCTCGTTGTTCTGAATATGCATACCTTTGCAAGAGGTATATTGCCAACAAAAACATCATTCTTTTGAATAAAACAGCATTATTATATATATTTATAAGACTAAACAGAAAATTACAAAAACTAAGGCAGACTTAAAGAAAGCAAGGAGTTGAAAATTGATACTTAAACTTGAAACTAATATTAATTTCCCCCAATGTATCTTATTAAAATCGCTAATAAATTTACTCAAAGTTTAAAGTTAAGCCTTAAGTTTAAAATAATGCTGACCGATACTACGGTTATGGTCCCAAACCATCAATGTTCCCTTAATTTGAAAACCATCAATTAGATTGAAAGCTTAATATTTAATACCTCTTTGTGTATTACTTGTAATTTTTGACCACTTCAATGCGAATATTTATTATTAGTTTTACTTATTATTAGTTTTATTATTAGAATGAAAATAGTTAACTGATTTTGTATTACAGGGTATGATATGATATAAATTCTGCGTCTAGTATGAAAATCTCTTGTTGTTTGCGGCTATTTCTGCTTTTACTGTTCTACGTACTTGTTGTTGCTGGTGAGGAAGTGCTTCAGACATTTTTTTACTTGTTTTTTTTTCTGGCTACTGCACAAAAGGTGTCCTCCCCTTCATTTTTACCACCACTCACTCTTTTCGCCAGCAGAAACTGCTTAGTCATAGGAAAATGCCGAAAATATACCTGAAGCATGTGGCTATTCGACATTCGGTCATTTCCCTTTTAGCTTTTAGTTTTCGGCTTATTGCAGCTCCTGTAACCTGCGGGCTTTCCGCCCCATCTGCGCATTTTTCTCCTCATCTGGCTCGATTTGCCCCCGGTTTGCCCTCCTCCTTTTGTGTGTCCTTTATCGTTGCGTGCTAAGTCTGGCCAAAATAAATTGCCAACTCATACAGACATACGTGTTCCTTTTCCTCCACGTCCCCCTCTGTTTCCATGGCTTTGTCTCCCTAGATTTATGCCGCAAAATAAAATTTAAGTGCGACAATATGGCGTTGACTTAAAAAATGTTTATATATATAAACAATTATCCGAACATAACCCCAATTCAGGCAGGTGGTTAAGAGGGTTAAGGAAAGGACTTTGGGTCTTAGTAGCAAATGTATTTTTGGGGTAATAAATATAGGGCCAAGATAAAGTTGAATTTATTCGGTCATCCATTAATTAAAGTACGGATTTTCTGTAAGGGGACACGAATGTGTCATGGAACACGAAATCAGGAAGAATTTAGTTTCAGTTTGCAAGGCAAGGTTAACAACCACTGAAACGGATCGCCTCACATTAACTGATTCTGGTTTTTATACCCTTGCAGAGGGTATTATGATTTCAGTCAGAAGTTTGCAACGCAGTGAAGGAGACGTTTCCGACCCCATAAAGTATATATATTCTTGATCAGCATCACTAGACGAGTCGATCTAGCCATGTCCGTCTGTCCGTCTGTCCGTCTGACCGTCTGTCCGTCTGTCCGTCTGTCCGTCTGTCCGTCTGTCCGTCTGTCCGTCTGTCTGTTTCTACGCAAACTAGTCTCTCAGTTTTTGAGCTATCGGGATGAAACTTTCCCAAAAGTCTTCTTTCTATTGCAGGTAGTATATATGTCGGAACCGACCGGATCGGACAACTATATCTTATAGCTCCCATAGGAAAGATCGGAAAAGAAAACGTTAAAAAAATTCTAGCTTCGGTGTTTTTTGAAATATTACCTTCTACTTTTGGGGATGTTATTTTTTAAATATTTCTGAATTTCGAATTAAATATTTAAAAAATCGGACGAATGTATCATATAGCTGCCATAGGAACAATCGTAAAATTAATGGAAAAGTGATAGGAAATAAATTCTAACTTCTTTGGTTTTTATTGTATTATCTTCTACTCTAGGATATGACTCTTTTTAAATATTTCCGAATTTCAATTTTAATTTGATCAAAATCGGACGACTATATCAAATAGCTGCCATAGGAACGATCGGAAAATTAATGAGATTAATGAAATTAATTGAACATTTTTGCGATTTGTTAATTAATAGGAATGATCTGCAAGGGTATTTAAGCTTCGGCTGGCCGAAGCTAGCTTCCTTTCTTGTTTTGTTTGACTTTTGAAGATGCCTACTTGGTTTATGATAAGCTTGAATTAGTTATAAATATGACAAAATTCATATATGATAAATTCATAGTGCATAGTTGCTATTAGCAGAAATCGAAATACAGTATTTACATAATTTTATATACTTAGTTTTATTTGCCAACTGCAGCAGCTCAGGGGCAAAAAAATGTAATTTGGAATGCCAACAAAGTGAAAACATGAAATAATATTTTCAATCTCTACAAATGCGTTTATCAAAAATGCATTTCTCCAAGTTGGATTTTTAGATTGCGCCATGGTTGGCCTTTGTACGACCTTATCCCCCTCCCTTGGCCAACATTCACCCCCTTCCACCCAGAAAGTCAGTTGCATGGAGCAAATTAAGTTTGCATGGGAGAGAGGAGAACCAAAGCAAAGTAAACTTCACTTTATAAATTACAAATAAGCAAAAGGGAGAGGGAAATGCAATCCCGGAAAAGGGCAACCTGTCCAGGACGCCTACACTTAGAAAATTATTTTTTCAAACAAAAATATTATCCTTAAGTTACTAAATTTTGCTTACTAAAATCCTAGATACTAAAAAAATACAAACTAAATGCATTGAAGTAATAAAAAACTGTAGAGCTACCTTAAATATTTCAGATATTTTAGTAAATGGTATTACAACTTTTGCTAAGATTTTAGACTTTGAAATTTAAATAGAAAATGTATTTCTAAGTGCATGGACTAGACTTTACTGAAAACGGATCCAAACTGGCCAAAACCACAACAAAACAAAAGCAAGAGCAACAAAAACACAAGGCGACTACTAAGGAAAATTAATTTTTTGAAAACTATTAAAAATTAATTTTATTTTATGGCTGACACACACACATACAGCAGCCGCAATGTTATGAGAAGGAAGATTTCCCTTCTCGATTTTTCTCGGTTTTGGCATGGGCGAATATTTTTAATGCATACAGAACACACTCGACTGAGTTGAGGAGGGAAGTAGGAGATATAGGGGACAAGGGCCCGCCTAAGGAGAAGTCCTGATTCTGGTCGTGTTCCCACTTGACTTGGTTTTTATTTGTGTACATCTTTTGTGGATGATAATAAAAAGAAAAAGGGTGAGGTGCAGAAGACAATGGGAATGGTTTCTATGGTAGCTATAAAAATTTAATAAATTTTGTTTTATTTTAATTGATTTAGTTTTAAGGAAAAGTTGGATTTTGTTAGATATTACGATTAAAATAAAACGTTTATTAGAAGATGTTATTGCATATACGGCAGTATTCTTGTCACATACATAAATATTATTATCCTACACTATAAATTCCTTACTTTTACATATAAAATCTGTAAGCAATGATTTTCTGTCTTATTTAATATTCTTTCCGCTCTAATTTCGTACGCGTATTTTTGTATTTCTTCTGTAATGCTTGGGAAATATGCCCTAAAGGCGTTGGCCATGGATGATGGCCAGATGCCCTTCCCATAAACCCACACCCACATGTACACCTTCATGGGGTAAAACAAAAACACCCACACAGAAGGGCACTGCAGGACAGGCTCACACACACATGGCCAAATAAACTTTGAATAAGCATTTCGTATGCCCAAAACAACAGTTCTTTCTCTCAATGCCCTGTATCCCGGGTACCTCCCTTCCCCCTATTTTTACATCCACCCACTCTTGGAGAAAATCTTCACATAAATCTTGGGAATGTTTGGCCAGCCTCCATGAGGAAAGTGCCCTTTCCCCGCACTTTCCTTACTTTACTTATGGGGCAGTGGGGCAAATAAGCGATGCTGCATATAAAATAATAAAACAGCCAGGAGGATGGGCAAAGGTGGATGGGAAAGCAGAGAACGTGGCACAAAATGGCCAGCTAGTTCTCTTCTAGGAAATATTCAATTTCCCCGGCTCATTAAAATTAAATAACTAAGCTCAGGCGAGACTTCAAATGAGGGGCTGGCCAGAGAATCAAGGTAAAGCTTTGGGAGTTCTAAGTGAGAAGAGAGATGGAAGGAATTGAGGGGAATTTAATTGAAGTGCAACGAATCCTAGCTAAGCCCAAAGAGTCATAAATGTCGGCGATGTGAGACTATAGGCCAAATGATGGGGAAGGGAATGGGGGGAAATTAAGTCTTCCTTTTGTAAATTATAAAAGCCGGAACTAAAGGAATGTAAATATTTCAAATAAAAATGCATCAAAGTAAAGTCTGACCAGAAAAGGATATTTAAAAAGAAAGTTAAAAAAGCTAGTTATTAATATAAAAAAATTTTATTCTCTTTTATTGACTTAAACAACATATAAAATGGATATTTTCCCTTTCAGTGACTCCCAACCACGGACCGAAGATAACCGGCGGGCAGCCACGCTACCAAATTGGAGACACCGTCCGGGTTAATTGCACCTCGTCGCCGTCCAAGCCCGTCTGTCACCTGAGCTGGCTAATTAACGGGGAACCGGTACAGAAGACCCACCTGCGGCAGTTTGACAAGGTGGTTGTGAATCGGGATGGACTGGAGATGGCCCGCCTGGGATTGGAGTTCCGGGTGCGGGCCTATCACTTTAAGCACGGCGACATGAAGTTGAAGGTGAGTTGGGATAAGTTCTGAAATTATTCAAGATTATAGTATCTTTATTGAAACATATATATTCCCACAGTGCGTGGCCAAGATCAGCTCACTATATCTGCAGAGCAACGAGGAGAGTGTGGAAAGCGATCGCCAGCAGCGGGCTCCGGCCTTGGAATCCCGGGAGACGGTGGCGGCCAAGTCCAGCACGATTGGTATAACCCGAAATAAAATATACAGTTTTTAATTTAAGAAGCCAAACTAATAGCCTCTGTTTCCACAGCTGCCGCCACCTCCAAACTGCCATCCAGCCTCATTGCTTTACTGCCTCCGGTTTTCCTGCTGCTGCTGTTTCAAAATTGGACCTGGCCCAGAGACAGTTAACTATCCGAGGATTAAGGAGCGCAAACACTAAAACCCATAGACTAGCAGAGCCGTTCGAAAAAGCAGACATATCCTACGCCAAAAACTTTGAGACAAAAACTAAAGGATTTATTTATAGCATAACCCTTGGTTCAATTTGAAATTCAATCGATGTATGTGTGCATAAAAACGGGAATAGAAACTCCCCAATTAAGAGCCAGATATTGACTAGAATATCAAAATGGTAACTACTCAACGCGAGCATTTAAGCAGAGGCTAAGCAACTGTACATATTTATTCGTAACATTAGGCAATTATATGTAGTCTTAAGAAATCGTTGTCTAGGCAAAACATTCGTTGATCTTTTGTGATATTATCTTCATTTTTAAAACGAAAGGAAGTAAAAACCATGTAGAAAATTATTTGGAGTCAAACCATTTTAAGCTGATTTTTCCCTTCCTTTCCATTTTATCCACCCTCTTCGGGCATATCAAAAACAACTAAACATTTCGATTGTAAAAACAAACATATTCGCACTTTGATCTACATACCAAATCAAGTCTACAACTTAACCCAAATAAACTTTTCATTGACCTATCAACATAAGCAAATGTAAGAAAATTGTAAAGCAAAAAATCTAAACTTTATAGCATTTAAGTTAAGTAAACTGAAAACGAAAATAACAAAATACCATGCAGAAAGTAAACTAAGCTAGGATTAGGCAAAACTTAAACTTGCATTCCAAACATTCCTCAAAGAGAAATATTACGTATAAGAATATATGATCACAAGCTGTAAATAGCCTGAGAAGAGCCAAGGATTGCACAAGTTAAGAACTTTCAGATTTTGGCAGAAGTTTCCATCTAAGTGTGTGTGTGTATCTGAATGTAATCAGTTCAATCAGTGCCAAGCTGCGACATATCATTTTTAAAGCATTCGTTGTCATGAAGAAAAGTTGAATTACTGCTATGTTAAGATGTAAATGGATCATTTAAAGTTTTAAAATGGCTTGCTTATATTGCGGAAAGCGACAAAAAGATGAATCGAAATAGGCGTCTGACCGCAGGCATGCATTGTTACTTTAGGGTCTGAGCACCCCTGCTTAAAAATAAATAAGCAAATGGTCATTGAATTTGTGAATATATACATTTTAAAAGCTTTCCTTTTGAAAGATTAAATCAAAACAAGAAAGGAAGCTACCTTCGGCCAGCCGAAGCTTATATACCCTTGTAGATAAAAGAATACTCACTCGGTGCAGTTCCAGGGATTCCAGATTCAGCGTTTCGATTTATTTCAATTTTGTTTTTAAGTAGTCAAGAATCAAAACGCCTACTTCCTACAAAGTTACAATGAATTTTCTTATATTTGTTTGGGAGCCTTAAGATATAGTGGTGCGATCCGGCTGGCTCCGACATATGTACTACCTGCAATAGAAAGAAGACCTTCGGGAAAGTTTCATCGCGATAGCTTTAAAACTGAGAGACTAGTTCGCATAGAAACGGACAGACGGACAGACGGACAGACGGACATGGCTAGATAGACTCGGCTATTGGTGCTGATCAAGAATATATATACTTTATGTGGTCGGAAACGTCTCCTTCACTGCGTTGCAAACATCTGACTGAAATTATAATACCCTCTACAAGGGTATAAATATTTGAATCCTACAAAATTATAAAGAACCGTTTTTTGGCAAGGAAACTTTGCTTTTTTAATCAATTCTGAAATCTGTTCTCGTTATACATATATTGTTCAAAACGCATACACAACAATACACATACTAAAGTAATGAAGGGATATGACCAGGTGATATTCACGGATGAACTCTTGCACCACCGAACTGTGGGCAGCCAGATCGAGGAGACACGGCGCACCTGGGAGGAGCGATGCTCTTGGTTTCCGGCTGCCCAGAGGAACTTGTATGCAAGATGTTCCGAGATTTACGAGGAGTGTCTGGAGAAGTACGGCAATGATCACTTCGAGTTCTATGCTAATAGAAATCGCCTGAGGGAAGAGCATAGGGTCAATACCAAATCGTATAGGGATCGGGAACAGCGAAAGTCTCAGAGATCAATGGATCATTTAAAGGACTACAAGGCGTCTCCTACATCTAATGGGGAATATGGAAGAGTTCAGCCAATGCTACTCTTTCACTGCTTTTAGATCTCTATCTAAAGCCATCCAAATTCTCAGTCCTTATTTCATGAGCCTTGTACTAGTATACACAAAAAATTTACTAAGCCTCTGTTAGAAGAAAAGAGCATTCGTCAAAACAATTATTGGATTGGAAGACGCAGAATAATACTATTGAATAATAAAGGCAAAATCTGAAGAAAATAGTTTTTCATGATTCAAACAATTGGTTTGGCTGGCTCGAGGTCTGGGTGCTTTATTTTTGCGTTTTCCCAATATATTTCGATCTCCTCCGGAGATCGTCTTCAGGGGATTGCTTTTAAATCAAAGCGCACGACGTCCGATTTGTCCGCCGTGGAGTTGTAAACTAAAACTGATTATAATTTTTTCCTCCATTTGTATGCACATAAAATTATCTTCTTTTTGTAATAATTTGTACAAATTACTTTTGTTTAACGGAATTAGCAAGATCAATTTCAAAATTTCTCAAAATGTAGTATCCGTTGAATATTTAATCACTTTCTCAAAAAGTACTAATTCGTTAACAAGCGTTAGCCACACAGAAAAAAAAAAAATAAAATAGAAAAATAAAAAAAATAAAAACCAAAAAAACACCAACGAAATTTCCACATAGTCAGTGAAAAAATGAAGATATACGAGGAGGTTATATTCACAGATCAGCTTCTGCACCACCGAACTGTGGGCAGCCAGATCGAGGAGACACGTCGAACCTGGGAGGAGCGGTGCTCGTGGTTTCCAACGGCCCAAAGGGAACTTTACGAGCGGTACGCCCAAATTTATAAGGAGTGTTTAAAGACGTACGGGAATGACCACTTCGAGTACTATGCGAAAAGGAACCGCCTCAGGGAAGAGTTTAGGCTTGAGACCAATTCATACAGACAGAGTCAGTCACGGGACTCAGAAATACCTATGGATCATATAGCCCTTTACAAAGCATCCTCCACTTCCAACGAAGAATATGGGAGTGTTCGGCCAATGCTCCTCTTCAAGGCTTTTTAGATCCTTACCCATTCTTCAATCATAATTACAGTCTGCTAGCAAGCTTTGGGGCAGGTGTACATTATATCGTTTATGACAAACTAAGACAAGCCCTGTAAATCCAGTACAGTGTAAGCCTGGCCTAAAGCACATATTCGGCTTAATGGTCTTCAGCAAATACAACTATTTGTAACAATTATTACAGAAAGGTCTACATTTCTGGCTTTAGCTATGATTCTACTCAAGAATATTTGATTATTTGTATTTCAAGATAATTTGATTTCGGCTGAAGGTTTGTAAAGCTTATATTTGTGTGTTTTTTGTGAGCACTTTTTGATTACTTCTGAACCTACAATTCTTAAATTTTATCAACTTTACTGTTGAGCTAGCTTGAATTGTTTAAATCCCGCTTTGTGCTAAGTTTTTCTTTCCAAAAGGGTAACATTAAATTCCCCCCTTGAGAAATTAGCCACATGCATGATACTAATCCTTTGGCTTATGCTAATTTTGCCCAAACTGAGTCAGAGTTCCCCGAGGTCTGATACCGCCTTTAAGGGGGTATCGAGCAGTTTATGGCAAAAAAAGGTGGAAATTGTCGGAGACATGCAAAATGCGAAAATGCGCAACAAACCACAATCGAATGCATTTCAGTACAAACAAAGTTACCAAGAAGCAAACAAAAGGCCGAAAGCAGTTCATGACTCATGCGAGCTGGTGGGTTTCGTACACACATCGCATGTCTGCCGGGTTCACCTGGGCGTGAGAAATGCAATCCAATGGCTCATTTGCATACAAAGCCGTTCGATTGTGGGCCAACGGCAGCCAGGCGATGGCTACAAATGGCCAACAAACAGCTGCAGGTCTTGGCCAAAATGTATCTTAAATATCTCAGCTTGGCATTGATCGACTGGCTGGGGGAAAGCCCTCTTACTTAGCCAAATGAATGTTTCTTGTACATAGCCAGCAACGTTTGAACTCAAATTTACTTAGGATCTAAGCAGGAAAAATCCTCGGCAACTCTCTAAGCATAATCTACATCTAAATCTAAGCAAATCTTGTGCGTGTTGTAAATTTAAAAGTAATAAAAATAACAATGAAAATATAACTGAACGAAAAACAAAACCAGCAAGGGTTTTAGATAAGTCAAAGAACTAACCTTCTTCATTAACCTTCATCAATGAACTTTGTTAACCTTTCAGTTTAGCCTTTATTTGTAAGTATTAAAAATCAAATGTTTGACAAAAAGAATGATAAACAAGTTAGTTCGTAAAACTGAACATAAAAATGAGAAATAAATGAAGTCCAGAAAAGCAAAGAAAATCGACGGTCTTTTTATTGAATGAGGAGCGCATTTCCGTTTCCGGTTGGTCGTCTGTCTCGTCCTGTCCTGCTCACGTTTCCATTGCCCCTTGGCGATGTTGGTACAAATTGAATTTAAATCAAAGGCTTGTCAAAGCCATTATTTATAATTTGTATTCAAAAGCCTTTAGTTGAAGTTCAACAAGTATTGCAAAAATATAATTATTTAATTTTAATACAATAGTTTTTATTCTTGTGAATCTTATATATTTTCACAACATTTTATGAAAATATCATAAACACACTCTTTTACAAAATGTAACAGTTACTTATTTATTAAAAAATCGAATTCACTTCGAGCCGGCATTGGCGAAAGTATTCGCGAAAAAAATAAAAAAAAAAAACAAGACAGACTGCCATACACAGAGAAAATTATACAACGTTTTAGGTGCCGTTTTCATATAAAAATGTTTTAAAAATAAAAATGAAAACGTTTTAAAAATGCAAAGTAAAATAAATTTGTATTAAACGTTTTAAAAAGTAAAATGTTTCACCCCTTATTTTGCACCTAAAACTTTTGATAATTTTCTCTGTGTAGTAGTATAGTTCGACTATTAGAAACTATAATACCTATTACAAAATATAATAAATAATTATTTTATTGATTATAATCAATCAATAAACAATCAAATAGAAACTATAATACCTATTACAAAATATAATAAATAATTATTTTATTTTATTAAATGCCACTTTTTATATTTTCCTTTTTTGGTAAGCAAGGGCAGAAAAAAATACCTTAAAATTCACGAAAAAAAAACTTGAAAGTGTATATTTTCTAACGTGGTTTGTAATTCCACAAAGTTGATCGATTTTTTTGTGTTAACCAAAGATGAAGGAATACGGTGAGGTGATCTTCGTTGATCAGCTGAAACACCACCGTGTTGTGGCCAGCCAGATCGATAAGACTCGTATTGCTTGGCAAAAAAATAGCTCCTGGTTTTCTGCTGCCCAAAGGAAGCATTACTCCCAATATGCGACCATATACGCTGAAAGCCGGAAAAAATACGGAGATGAAATATACGGATACTACGCAAGAAGGAACCGCCTGCGGCCTGAGTTCACTTGCAAAACCAAGTCTACAATCGGAAAGGAGGACAGGAAGACGCATATTTCCATGGCGCACCTCATAGGATACAAGTATTCCAAAACAACCAATGGCGAATATGGCAGTGTGCCGCCATCAGACTTATTTTTCTGTTTCTAAGCTGTTCTTTTATTTTGAAAAGAAAAAAAATTTAAAAAACTATCACGATCTTTGCAAAATAAAGTTGACTTTTATTTTTTTAAGTTAGTGAATGTGTATTTTCTATTGTGTAAAAAGATGTGGAAATTTTAGCAGTGTAGCTTTTTATACCCTTGCAGAGGGTATTATGATTTCAGTCAGAAGTTTGCAACGCAGTGAAGGAGACGTTTCCGACCCCATAAAGTATATATATTCTTCATCAGCATCACTAGACGAGTCGATCTAGCCATGTCCGTCTGTCCGTCTGTCCGTCCGTTTCTACGCAAACTAGTCTCTCAGTTTTCAAACTATCGGGTAGTATATAAGTGGGAACAAGCCGGATCGGACAACTATATCATATAGCTCTCATAGAAACAATCGGGAAAAAAAATGTAAAAAAATTATATCTTGTGTGTTTTTGAACCTATAACATCCTACTTTTGGAAATGTAATTTTTTATCTAATTCTGAATTTCGAATAAAATTTTTTCAAAATCGGACGACTATATCATATAGCTGCCATAGGAACGATCGGAAAATTAATGGGAATATAATAGGAAATAAATTATTGCTTCGTTGGTTTTTATTGTATTCTCTTCTACTTTAGGATATATAACTCTTTTCAAATATTTTCGAATTTCGATTTTAATTTTATCAAAATCGAACTACCATATCATATAGCTGCCATTGAAACAAACGCAAAATTAATGAGAAATAAGGAAAATATAATTTTTGCGATTTGTAAATTAATAGGAATTATCTGCAAGGGTATATAAGCTTCGGCTGGCCGAAGCTAGCTTCCTTTCTAGTTTCCATATACACTCGTATATCAGAGATCGCTTACAGACATGTACTTAACTGTGTCTGATGGTGCGACTGGTAAGGTGTCTGTCTTGAAGCGAGAGGACCCCGGTTCCTTCCTTTTTTGTTTAAAATGTAGCCGAACAAATTTTAAAAAGTACGACCTAAAAAAAAGTACGAGTATATGACTCATTTCATGTCAAACGTGACAGGCAATTTGGGGTCAAGTCTCAGAAAAATTCGGAACATTTTTAAATGAATAAAAATCGTTCAAATAATTTTTGTTTTGGAATAACATATAAATATAATTATCTATATATTTTCTCCGATTTCTTCGAAACGAAGATTAGGTTTTAAGGCCCCCTTAAAAATATTTTTCCTACACCTCTTAACCCCCTCCAAAGCACACAGTGGTACGCTCATTACCAACGCTTTTGCACAATATGCAAAAATTAATGGGGGAAACATTTAGGCATTGAACGACTACAGACAGACACTAAAAACTGCAGTAAACCAGTGGAAATCCATTGAAAATGGCATGGTGCGGAAAGAGGTGGTTAAGGGTTTGTGGCGTGTTTTAAATTAATTTTATATACGAATTACCCGTCCCACAACGGCACTTTGGCGGTACTGCCAAGCACTTGGCTCGTAAATTGGTAATGTTTGTAAGCCCAGTTTTATGGGCCGATGGCGGCCCAGTCTGTTTACCATAATTACCTGTTTATAATTAATTAAAATGCAATAAACGTAAATTTGATAAAAGAGCCACGCACATGCTTACGCGGTAGCGATAATTTGGTGAATCTCCGATAAAGTTTTGTTTCATATAATTGCGTGATTTTTGTAATTTGATTTTCTAAAATAGTTTTTATAATTTTATAAATAAAAAAGAGACTTTTATATTATCCCTTAAATGTTACCTTTTCATGTCATGGAAATATTTTAGCTTAATTTTGTTCAAGTGCATGACCGGATTTTTGATAAATGAATTTAAATGTATCAACTAAATTACAATCAAATAGATAATTCGCAATAAAGGCTGGCTGGAATGAATGTATAAATTAACCAATGACCCCTTCACCCTTTCCCACCGACCAAAATTAGCGGGGAAACCGCGGGAAATTTCAGCATAAACACACTGGTTAATGCAATAACAATTTCGGTGTGTTTGTTGTCTTTCTACCCTTTTGAGCTACGCTTATTGACCATGAATAACTAACGGGAATGCAACACGAACTGTGGTTACGCCCCCTGCCCACTCAGACTTACACCGCCCCCGTTCACCGTTCCAATACAATGATTCATTGCGCAAGTGTGCATACGTGTGCGGTTTAATTGCGGCTACATTTTGATTTATGACGCCAAAGGGTGAAAGCACTATGACACATCCTTTTTGGTTGGTGCTTCTAGTTGGCAGTAAAAGTTCAATGTAATATCTTGCAAATTTAAAAAAAACCGAGTAACATAGAAAAGTGGCTACCTCGAATTAAAAATCTTTATTAATTAATTAACATTTTCCTAAAGGTTCATAAGCTATTTACCAACAACATTGACATGTGTTATTATTAAGGACACCTCAAAATTCAATCTAATCACTTGCATCTTTGTCTGGGATCAGTACATTAGTCACTGAAGTGAATGTCATTGGCACAATTGAATAATCCTGAGCGGAGCACAATCCAGCACTCATTCAGTTTGCTAAAATGTTCGACTGGGTCGGTTTGTTATTGAAGGTGGTCTACTATTATGGACACCTTATCGGTCTTAGTAACTTTGAGTTTGAGTGGACTGGACGAGTCTTTAAGACCCGAAGAAGTGCCCTCTACGCCATTGCGATCGACGTCATCCTGGTTATTCTTATCGTTTTGCAAATCTCCAAGCCAACTGAATTTAACTTGATCTTTGGAAAGGCAAACAAGCTGCACCATTATGTTATTATCATTGTATTTGGACTGAGAGTTGTAGCAGGTGCGAAAATTCGTTTTTGTAACAAAGTCTTTTTAAGACATTAATTCGATTTCACTAAACATGATAGGTATTATTTTTTTAAACGGACCGACGAACATATGGACATGGTTTGATCGACTATCCAGTGATGCTGAGCAATTTTTGAATAAATAGACTTGAAAAAGTTGAAAAAAGATACAAACTTTTATTTATTTAAAAATCATATTTATACCGTTTAAGAATTGTGGTTAAATATTTTCAGGTCTTTCCACCGTGTTCATCAGATGGAGTCGACGGAAACAGATGATGCTCTTGGCCAAAAAAGTGCTTGGTGTATTTCTAAAAAACCCGCACTTGCGGAAAATTTCCCGCTGGGGTATTCTTATTAAGGTCACCATTGCAATCGTTACTGATCTTCTGCAAATGGCAATTAACTGGAATGCATTGGGCTATGCGAAAGCCAATCAAACAATACTAATGGCCTTGCAGTTCTGGGTGTCGGCTATTGTAAATCTGGCCGTAGCGCAGCGGTATCTGCTAACCCTCTTCGTTCGGGCCCACTATCATCTGCTAAACACCGAGCTGCGTCAGGTGATCAAAGAAAGCAGGATGCTAAGTTACCATCCTCAGCGGAGGGGGGCTTTCATGACCAGATGTTGCTCGTTGGCGGATCAGGTGGAGAGTATTGCCAAGTTTCAAAGTGAACTGCAGTCGATTGTGAACCAGCTGGACGAAGTATTCGGAATCCAGGGGCTTATGGTGTATTTCGGATACTACATATTTTCAATAGCAACAGCTTACATAACCTATAGTATCCTAAAAAATGGCCACGAGAATCTGGAGCTGAGCGTCACATCGATGATTCTATCCTTCACTTGGTGTTTTTTTTACTTCTTGGACGCCATTCTCAATCTGTTCAATACGCTCAATTTACTGGAAGATCACACGAAGATGATACGGCTATTGGAGGAGCGAACACTATTTGCCTTTACCTTAGATGTTCGTCTGGAGCAATCGGTAAATTTGTTTTAGCATACATAAAAGTCAAATTATACCATAATATCCTTCCACTAATGTTTGAGAGCATACAACTGCAATTGATTCGAAACCCATTCAAAATGGAAATAATGAAATTTTTTCCAATAACTCGGAGTTCTACAACGGCCATGTTTGGATCTCTAATAACACATTCGATATTCCTAATTCAATATGACATGGAGTACTTTTGAATTAATCCCAAAAATGTTATTCTTTTAGATTTCAACATGGAGTACTTTTGAATTCATCCCAAAAATATTATTCTTTTAGATTTCAATAAAATGTTACTTTCACTGTAAAAGAGGTGTAATTTCATAACCCATTAGCAATGGATTTGGCAGAGTGCAAACATGAAATATTGTATTGTAGTTCGTCTAAATTACTTGGACATTAGGTCAGTTTCATTATTTATGAAAAAAGTCAGACTACAGAAAGCAATAATAGCTAGCTTCGCGGGTTTCAGAAGGGCAGATAATGGCCACGAGTGCAGAACGAACTTTGAATAAGAAATGGCAGTCGCGACTGCTAAGATGGTCTGTTTTGGGCCTCTGCTGGTCCTCGTACATCCTTTATCGAGGCTGCGTGATTGGACAAATTAAATACGACAAAGAAAAGGGAAAACTGATTATCCAACGTCGCAACATTTGGACCAAAAGAATAGTGCTGTGCCTAAAGTTGTCGGTGCTCTACTTCAGCTGTAATATTATTATCACTTATTTTACAATAGCATTCATTGCAGTCATTCCAGTTGAAAGTAATGAAGGCATATTTTCTAGTCCAAAGTACTTTGATACTCTGATGACAGGGGTCATCATGCAGATAGCCATATGTAATATTATACGTTTGTGGAACTGGATGAGTAGTCTGTCCTATAATCGATCCTTAGTGGGTCTGATCAACGAGGTGATAGAAGTAAACACATTGATGAAAGAGACTTTGGGGAGGCCTTCCTTGGAAGGTATCTCCCTGCTGATCCTTTACATAGTTCAGTGGGACTTTACTGTCCTGCAGATCACGGGCTTAAGTCAACTAAGTCTTTACGTCTTCCCGCTGTACATCATATTGCTGGAGTTGTGTTTCAACATTTATGTGGTCTACCAGTTGTTGCTACTGTCTTGGATCGCTGCTTTCAATAGGTTCTTAAAGGTAGGATAACTTCTTAAATTTATTGAGCTTGAATTAATTTTACTGGTCTTAAATTTCAGATCTATCTACAGGAACGGAAACCGACAAAAAGGCAACATTTAAAGGTTCTTCGGCTGCTTCGCCTCTATTCCAGGATAGCCAATATTAACCAGGAAATCCAACTGCTGTGGCTGCCGGTCATCGGCATGCTTTTCACCGACATCTTGCTACTAGTGATCAATTGGGCGTTTATCATCAAAAATATCATGGAGTACCACTTGTTTGCAGACGACAAATTTTATAGGAAATGTTTGAGAGCCGCAGTTGGTGGGCAGGCATCTTTCTTAAGGATTTTGTTCATTGGTCTATGCAATGATAGACTGTGCATTCTGCAGACTCTCCTTAGAGTGCAGCTTTTAATCGTCGATTTGCGCTTCTCACTGCATCTTCAGCGGCATCAGAACTTCGTCAGGGATGTCCAGACTTTGGTCGGTGTGTAGCCAATCGGGTCGAGTTCCCTAATTCTTATATCCTTTCCACCATAGCAAAGTTGCTTTGATGTGCAGTTCAGAGTCCAGCCGATCAGGAACCGGATAATGAACGCCAATCTGGAATGCGGAGGTTCGTTTGTCCTAGACTTCTTTTTTTGCACATTGCTAAATGCCTTGTGCTTTGCCCAGTATGAAATTACCGTTGACGCCGATACGTTAATTTATGCTGAAGATCGATAAGACCTGCTATAATGGAATCTGATCAAATCAATGCTCAATCTTTTCATACTCCTTTATTTTTTGGACGATTACAATAAAATTTATTTATTTATTTAAAATTTATCTATTTATGTAAGGAACATTGTTTGATTCTGTAAGAGCTTAATTACCTTTTAATAGTTTTTTTCTTTTTGGACGATTACAAATAGAATTGTTGTCATCAGTACATAAAAATAAAACGAAAAAATAAAATAAAACGCAAGGAACAAATGCTGACATATGAAGTTCACTAGAAATATTGAGTAAATAACAGGAAAGAACGCTATATTCGACTATTAAATACCCCTTACTCACCTTAACAACTTTAATATAAACAATATTTATAAATCGATTAATATAAAGGGCTTCTATTGATTTTATATTAATTATACCAACCCGCGAATCCTTAAAAACAGGAGGATCTTAGCTAAGGCACTATTGCTTATCAAATAAAAACACCTCTTAACGAGGTAAAAAACTAGTGACGATCGCACCTTCAACATACAAAAGTGCTGATATCAACATTTGTGACGAAAAATTATTACACTTGTCATTAAATAGTTTTTTATATCGATGTGATGAACGTCATATCAAATTTTCAGAACTTAAAAAACATATTTTGGACAAACTGACAAACGGACAAACTGACAAACAGAATTAAATTTTCATTTTGGGAAGATGAAGAAAATCTTATTTTGGCTATAACTTTTGAACGGAGCGTCGGATTTTATCTTTCATTTTATCTCATTCGACGGGTATTTTCAATAGGAACACAACTAAAACATTGCGAGGGGGCATTTTTCCCCACCGGCCCCAACAGCTCCAAATTTCGAAATTTGCACTTTTTCACTTTCACCGCTCTCTCTCCCAATCCAATTAATTTTCTTAAAGTCTTGGTATGCAATCCTTTAAGTTTTTGCAATACCTTTCGATTGGTGTATTACTCATTACGATCGGACTATCACAGCAGATTTTCATTTCTTCGTGTATATATAGTAGTCGCCTTCGCACACTCTCCTGGGGCGCTTCGTCACTACATGGACTGCCGTCCATAGTGATACTTGGCTCTATAACAGCGGTCGGCAGCGTCCTATTAAGTGAGCATAGGGCTTTTACCCAAACCTAAACGACCTGAAAATTTTGAGGTCAGGTTGGGTAGGTAATATTTTGGTCTGGGTACCCAAATATCCCATTTTCATATACCCATGCAGGGCTCTAATAAAAATGCCTTGTTGCCATTTCAAGTAATGTAGATTTTACATTAACATAGTGGGAATTAGAGTGACCAGGCCTAGTAGTTAAAATAATCCATTTGAATACGGCGCTCTAGAGCTAGAGGCTTTTTTTCACCACCAGCAACAGTGCTAAACACGCGGCGACGGCGCCATCTTTGGCATGGAATTGGTACTGTTCATACAAGAAACTGTGGGCGCCACAGCTTTTGCGGTTTCTGGGCGTTAGAAGGGACGTTTCAGCTTGATAAAACAAACTGGCACTGCGTAGTAAGCCCTAGAATCTTCTTGCTTAGTGTCAATCCTCCAGCTTTTATAGCTTTCGAGATCTCAGCGTATATACAGACAGACAGATGAACTTTTGCAGAAATACCATAAACCCTTTTACTCTAAGAGGGACAGGAGTACAAATATTTGCAGCATGGCATTTGGTGGGCTCTAAATTTTAGATTTAAAGTATTAGCGATTTAAAGCTTAAGAACAATTGTTCTTGTTTAAAAACGATTGATCTTATTTTAAAAACATTTAAAAAAACTGAGCAGTAAGATATGGCCTTCTAAAAATAACTTTTCCTTTTTTTCATACCTCTTCACCATCTTTTTCGAGGTCAATCACATACCTCTTCAAAATCAATAGGTACCTATGTGTGTCTGGAATCAGTACATTAGGTTACTGTAAGTCACTGGGACAAATTAATTACCTTTGGTGGACCAAGGCCAAGCACTACTTTTTAGTTGGCTAAAATGACCGACTGGGTCTGTTTGTTATTGAAGGCAGTCTACTATTATGGACATCTTATTGGTCTTGGAAACTTTGAGATTGACTGGCGGACAGGTCGTGTCTATACGTCCCCAAGCAGTACCATCTACGCCCTCGCAACCAACGTCAGCATTTTTATTGTCCTGTTGTGGCAAATCTTGGAACAAACTGATCCCAATGTGTTTTTTGGAAATGCAAATAAGCTGCTCGTAGCTGTTATCCTTGTTTTGGTCGGACTGAGAGTGGCTTCAGGTCAAATATATGCATAATTTGCATCTATCAATTCTTCTAATTGAGAAACATTTTCAGGACTTCTCACCGTTCACAACAGATGGCACCAGCGAGCCAAATTCATCCGCTTGGCCAGAAAAGTGCTCCGGTTATTTCTGGAAAAGCCGCAGGTGAAAAGAATGTGCCGGTGGAGAATTCTTATCAAGTTCATCATAGCCATCGTCACTGACCTTCTGCAAGTGGCAATCACCTGGGATTCAGTGGGTCGTGTGGATTGCAATCAATTTATTGGAATGACCTTGCAGTTTTGGATGTCGACCATTATAAATTTGGCCATATCGCAGCATTATCTGGTAGCACTTTTCGTTCGGGCAAACTATCATCTGCTAAACACAGAGCTGCGACGGGTGGTCAACGAAAGCAGGATTTTGAGTTACCTCCCCCAAAGAAAAGGGGCTTTCATGACCAGGTGTTGTTCCTTGGCGGATCAGTTGGACAATATAGCTAAGCTACAATCCCAACTGCAATCCATTGTGACCGAGTTAAATGCGGTCGCCGGTGCTCAAGGGCTAATGGTGTATGGCGGATACTACTTATCCTCAATAGCTACATACTACTTGACGTACAGTATCCTCAAAAATGGTCTTGAAAATCTGCAGTTAACTGTCCAAGCTGTGATATTGGCCTTTAGTTGGTGCTTTTTCTACTATTTGGATGCCATGATCAATCTGTTCACGATGTTTAATCTGCTAGATGATCACAAGGAGATGATACGAATACTTCAGGAGAGAACGCTGTTTGCATCCGGCTTGGATGTTCGTTTGGAGGAATCCGTAATATGTTTTTTTTTCGATTAGCCACAAAATGATTTACAAGTTTTTGTCCTTACAGTTTGAAAGCTTTCAATTTCAAGTGATACGAAACCCGTTTCAAATTGAAGTTATGGAAATATTTTCTATCACACGCAGTTCCATTTCGGCCATGTATGGATCTCTAGTAACGCATACAATATTTCTTATTCAATACGACTTGGAATATTTTTGAGTTGCTTTGTTCATGTTACGAATTTAATAACATTTTAGTTTTTAAACATATTTGGTATATTTACTTAATAATAATAAGAAGAATAATAATATTAGTTATTTTGACAATTATTGCCTGATAGTTGACTTTCAGGCACTGTACACAACCACGGGATTTGCAAAAGAATGTGTCAATCTAGAATGATGACTGGACTTCGGATTTCGATATGGGACAAATGAAGAACGATGGACCAATCGGTTTTTGTTGTCATGGCAGATCACCGGATACTTTCAACTCTCGATGTATTTATACCCGTTACTCGTAGAGTAAAAGGGTATATTGTATTCGTGCAAAAGTATGTAACAGCTAGAAGCTGTTTAGAGGACATTCTATTACCTGTAAAATGAGTCTTCGATGTCCGAAATCGGTTAATCACAGCTAGAGTTAGAAATTAAAAAAACGTGAAAAACTTTTTTACACTTAAAAAAAAATTGGTACCATACAAAAAATTGTAAGTGCCCTTTTCTTAATCAGAAAAATGTACCTTACCGGAAAATAAAGGTTTCATGAAGTGTGTGTTTCATCAATTTTAATACCCTTGCAGAGGGTATTATGATTTCAGTCAGAAGTTTGCAACGCAGTGAAGGAGACGTTTCCGACCCCATAAAGTATATATATTCTTGATCAGCATCACAAGACGAGTCGATCTAGCCATGTCCGTCTGTCCGTCTGTCCGTCCGTCTGTCTCTTTCTACGCAAACTAGTCTCTCAGTTTTGAGCTATCGGGATGAAACTTTCCCAAAAGTCTTCTTTCTATTGCAGGTAGTATATATGTCGGAACCGACCGGATCGGACAACTATATCTTATAGCTCCCATAGGAACGATCGGAAAAAAAAACGTCAAAAAATTCTAGCTTCGGTGCTTTTTCAAGTATTACCTTCTACTCTTGGGAATATTATTTTTTATATATTTCTGAATTTCGAATTAAATATTTTAAAAATCGGATCACTATATCATATAGCTGCCATAGGAACGGTCGAAATATTAAATGGAAATTAATAGGAAAACAAATTATATCTTTGTTGATTTTTATTACATTCTCTTCTACTCTGGGATATGACTATTTTTAAGTATTTCCTAACTTTGATTTTAATTTTAAAAAGATCGAACTACTATATCATATAGCTGCCATAGAAACGATCGAAAAATTAATGTAAAATAATAGGAAATTTAACATTTTTGCGATTTGTAAATTAATAGGAATAATCGGCAAGCCGAAGCTAGCTTTCTTTCTTGTTTTTTGTAAAATGATGCTATTGGTTGGTTTAAAATCGTGTACTTCATTTTGAAACGGTTTCTGTGACACCAAAAAGTTTGGTTGGAAGATATTTCTGTAACACCCGTGTATTAAATATTGGCCACCTTTTATCAGATCAGAAAAGTCTTCGTTTCGAATGAGAGCAATTTGTTCATGTCAGTCACAACAATGTAATATTCGCCTTCCTTTGGTGACCGCATCGAAGGCCCTGTTAGTTTTACAAAATGGTTGACTGGGTAGGTCTGTCGATAAGGGCTTCCACCAGTTACTGCCACTTGATTGGTTTGAACAATTTTGAGTGGGATCGGCAATCAGGGCGTGTGGTCAAGACCTGGAGATGTACTCTTTACGCCGCCACGATCAATATCGTTTATTGTACCGCTGTCGTTTACTGTTGGACCACAACAATGTATTTTACTGCGATGTTTAGCGAATTAAACATGCTGCAAATGAGTGTATTCTTGACGGTGACCTTCTTGAGGATAATTGCAGGTAACACAAGTTATAATTAAAAACAGATTCATTGTAAACATTCTTCAGGACTTTCTACTCTGCTTAACAGATGGCGCCAGCGCAACCAGCTGGTTAAAATAATACGAAATGTTCTACGTCTATCGCTGGCTAATCCGCAGTTTAACAGTACAATGCGCTGGGTAACATTCAATAAAATCGTTGCCACTTTTGCGATTGACCTCCTTCATGTTGCACTGGCCGTACAAGCAGTAAATCTCTATTCCGGTCTCCAGCTTTGGAGCTTTTCTATAGCGAATTTGGCCGTGCTTCAATATTTTCTGATACTCCTGTTCGTTCGGACACAATATCAGGTTATAAACGCTAAGCTGGGACAAGTGATTGAAGAATGTGAGCGGCTAAGTTACCTCCCACAGCGACAGGGTGGTTTCATGACTAGATGTTGCTGTCTATCGGATCAGTTAGACTGTATTGCCAAGCTTCAGGACCAGTTGCATTCGATTTTGACCCGTTTTGGAGAAGTTCTTGGTCTCCAGGCGGCTACGGTATTTACCGAATACTATATGACCTCGGTGTCTTTTGGCTTTCTGATCTACTCTGCGTTAAAACATGGACAAGAAAACTTCAATATGACACTGCATTATTTTGTTATGACCTGCATTTGGTACTTCGTTTATAATCTGAAGGCTGTGCTTGGTATTTCTATCATGTTTTGTCTTCTTGATGAGGACAAGAAGACGTATCGCCTATTGGAGAAGAGAATATTGTTTGCTTCTCGCTTGGATGTTCGGCTAGAGGAATCTGTAAGATATAAGCTCAATTATCTATAATGATAAGCGTATACTTCTTTATTAGTTCGACAGTTTCCACCTACAACTGGCACGGAACCCACTAAAAGTTGATGTCATTGGAATGTTCCTTTTTACTCGGACCACTATAGCTGCTATGTTTGGCTCCATTATAATGCACACAATATTACTTATTCAATGTGACTTAGAAAACTTTTGATATTTATACCCTTGCAGAGGGTATTATGATTTCAGTCAGAAGATTGCAACGCAGTGAAGGAGACATTTCCGACCCCATAAAGTATATATATTCTTGATCAGCATCACAAGACGAGTCGATCTAGCCATGTCCGTCTGTCCGTCTGTCCGTCCGTCTGTCCGTCTGTCCGTCCGTTTCTACGCAAACTAGTCTCTCAGTTTTAAAGCTATCGGGATGAAACTTTCGTAAAAGTCGTATTTCTATTGCAGGTAGTATATATGTCGGAACCAACCGGATCGGACAACTATATCTTATAGCTCCCATAGGAGGGATCAAAAAAAAAAACGTAAAAAATTCTAGCTCCGGTGTTTTTTGAAATTTTTCTGAATTTCGGTTTTTTTGTTTTTTAAATCGGATCACTATATCATATAGCTGCCATAGGAACGGTCGAAAAATTAAATGAATATTTATGGGAAAAAAATTATATCTTTGTTGGTTTTTATTACATTCCCTTCTACTCTGGGATATGACTATTTTGAAATATTTCCAAGAAATTTAACATTTTTGCGATTTGTAAATTAATAGAATGATCTGCAAGGGTATATAAGCTTCGGTTTGCCGAAGCTAGCTTCCTTTCTTGTTTTTAATTTAAACAAGTTTCACAATAATAACACTTTCGGCTAGCGCCAAACAATATTACAAATTAAGCAATTAACTTTTACTCGTTGAGTAAAAGGGTATATTGTATTCGGGGAAAAGTATGTAACAGGTAAATTGAAGCGTAATGTTCTTGATCAGGATAACTAGACGAGTCGATCTAGGCATGTCCGTCTGTCTGTCTGGATGAACGCTGAGATCTCGGAAACTACAAAAGCTAGAAAGTTGGGACTAACATCATACTTATATTCTTGGGACTCCAACGCAGCGCAAGTTTATTTCAGCCGAGCGCCACGCCCACTTTAACGCCCACAATCGCATTAAACGACTTTGTAATGTGTGTGGCGCCCACATCTTTCTAAATTTCGTAAAACTTTTAATAAAATGTTGTAGTGTTAATTAATACCTTTCGAAATGTAAAAGAAATTTTTAAAATCGGACTATTCATTAGTCGAGGTAATCGACTATAGCGTCCTCTCTTCTTTAAGTTAAGAAGTTAACAATTTTTGCAAAATTTTATTTACTTTATCTCGGGAACGACTTGGCGAAACAATGGACAACCGTACACGTTTTAAGATGTACACTAGGGTCATTAAAAAAAGTTTTCTACGTTTTTGGTATTTTGGAAGTATGGTTTTTTGACTATTTTAAATTTTTGATAGCGGTTTTAGAACTCTGCTTCATCAAGCATAAAGTCTATCTAATTTAAGGGTATTTATTTTTTCAACAAGTCCAATCCTTTCATATTTAATCTGATATATTGCACAACTCAATTACTCACTGCATAAGTATATGCCAATCTAATAATATTACCATCATAAAGCTGCCTTAGATATCGATGGAATATTTTTTTGTTAAGAAGGCAGGCTTTAAAAATATTATTCGTTTTTAATTGTAATTATAATTATCTGCCTTAAGACTTAAAGCCAGGGATTTACCAAAAGTTAGCATAGTTTTAGTAGCCATCTCTATCAAATATATTAAAACTTTTAAGCCTATCAAGAAGCTTAAAAAACATTTTTGTATGCCGATCAAATATCACAAAAAAACAAGAGAGAACGCTATAGTCGGGTTGGTGTCCCGACTATTTAATACCCGTCACTCAGCTAAAGGGAGTGCGAACGCACTATATAGTCGGGTTGGTGTCCCGACTAATTTTCTTAACTCAGCTAAAGGGAGTGCGATGGAGATAGGTATATGTAGATATTTTGATTCCGTATAACTTTTTAATGAATGGTCCGATTTGAAAAATGTTTGTTAGGTATAAATATACACAACAAAATTGCATTTATACTTCTCGAAAATCTTTAAAAATGTGGGCGCAGGACACACTTTAAAATCGTTAGTGGGCGATTGTGGCCGTTAGAGGGGGCGTGGCGCTCGGCTGAAATAAACTTGCGCTGCGTAGGTATGTGTAGAAAATCTCAACCTTCTAGCTTTTGTAGTTTCCGAGATCTCAGCGTTTATACAGACGGACAGACGGACATGGCTAGATCGACTCGGCTAGTGACCCTGATCAAGAATATATATACTTTATGGGGTCGGAAACGCTTCCTTCTAGCTGTTACATACTTTTGCACGAATACA